AAAAAAAGGAAAAAAAAAAAAAACCCAAGCCAAAAAAATCTTTGCAGGAGCCTAAATTGGGAATGCAAAAGTGCCTGTGACACCTGACTGTGGAGGTTCTGCCAGAGTTAGGGGAGCAGACCTAGAAACATACACTGTATGGTAAGTTGCCCGGCGGCTATGGTTGGAACTTAACTGGTAGCTTCTGGGGAGAAGGGGGAGCAAGCATTATCAAGAGAAAATCCTCCCATGGTGGGTCACTGTGATCATCTGAGCTGAATCTTACAGTTTGGACTGAAACAGCATGAGGCAATAATGGTTGCTGGCCCAGGCGGGGTCCCACAGAGGAACTGGAGAAGCCTGGGTCTTCCTTCAAGTCAAGGAGTTTGTGTTATTTTTATTCTTTCACTTTTTTTTGAAGCTTTGTTGAGGTATAATGGACATACAATAAAGTGCACATACAGGCATACCTCAGAGATGTCACGGGTTCAGTTCCAGACCACTTCAATAAAGCAAATACTGCAGTAAAATGAGTCACGCAAACTTTTTGGTTTCCCAGTGCATATAAAAGTTATTATTATACCATACTGTAGTCTATTAATGTGCAAGTGTTATGTCTAAAAAAAGTACATATCAATTTTAAAATGCTTTATTGCTAAAAAATGCTAACCATCATTGAGCCTTCAGTGAATTGTAGTAGTGACATCAAAGATCACTGATCACAATAGATAAACAACAAGGTCCTGTTGTATAGCACAGGGAACTATATTCAATACCTTGTAATAGCCTATAATGAAAAAGACTATGAAAAGGAAAAAAATATATATGTATAACTGAATCACTGTGCTAAACACCAGAAATTAACACATTCATTGTAAACTGACTATATTCAATTTAATATTTAAAAAATTGTTTAAAAAAGAGCACTGATCACAGATCACCACAACAAATTTAATAATAATGAAAAAGTTTGAAATATTGTAAGAATTACCAAAATGTGTCACAGAGACATGAAGTAAGCAAGTACTATTGGAAAAATGGTGCCGATATTGTTCAATGCAGGGTTGCCACGGACTTTCAGTTTGTAAAATACGCAGTATCTGCAAAGCTCAATAAAACAAGATATGCCTGTATTTAGAATGTACAATCTGATAAATTTTGACATATGTGCTCAAGAAATCAAGATAATGAACACGTCTCTGACTCAAAGTTTCCTTTTGTTAGTTTATAATCCCTCACCCCACTCCTAGTCTTTCTAAGTGATCTTTCTGTCAATATAGGTTAGTTTGCATTTTCTAGAGTTTTATGTAAATATAAGTATACAGTAAGTGCTCTCTTACAGACTGTCTTTTTTAACTTAGCAAGATCATTTAGCAATTCATCAATGTCATTTCATGGACCAATTGTTCCTTTTTATTGCTGAGTAGTATTCTGCTGTATGAATATACTACAATTTTTAATCTATTTACCTGTTAGTGGGCATTTGAGTTATCTCCAGTTTTTGGCTGTGGTGACTAATGTTGTTGTGAACATTCTTGTTCGTTTGTGTGGACATACATTTTCAGTTCTCTTGGGTATATTCCCAGGAATGGAGTTGCTGGGATGCATAGTAACTCTCTGGTTAACATTTTGAGGACCTGTCAAACTGTTTTCCAAAGTGGCTGCCCCTTTTTACACTTCCCACCGGCAGTTTATGAGTTTCAGTTACTTTCGTCTTCACCGATACTTGGTCTGTGCAGTCTTTTTATTTTAGCCCTTCTAGTAGGTGGGAAGAGTTTGGATTTTATCCTGTAGGTTGATAGTGAGCCAGTTAACAATATAAAGGTGAGGACTGATGTGACCAGGAGTGCTGGATGCTTGGCAAATACTTGAACGCCCACTGCAGGAAATAGTAAACTGAATCTGAGTCTGTGCAGTGACCACACTGGGGCACTGAGTGGTCATGGGTAAACCACTCAGTCAATAGTGACCACAATACACATTCAGCCTGCTAATGGGAAAGGGAGGGGGGAAAATCCATCATTTGATTGCTCAGTTTTAGAAAGGGAAACTAGGACAGAATGAGGGCATTAAGGGGGGAGAAATGAAAGGAATTGTTTAAAAAGTTACAGCCCGTAGAAAGCCTGGAGCCCATTTCTATTTAAAAGTGCTTTATTGGAAGCCCGTGA